GATGTACGCTCAACACCATCCCCACCAACCACTCGCTACTCAAGAAGAGCAAGCTTCCCTTCGCCCTCATTATAAGCCCATATGCGAGCTTGCACGACTCGGAGGACCCTGTGCCAGTAGTGCACGACCAGGTCATTAGCCGTTGTCGACGCTGCCGCGCCTACATCAATCCATTTGTCTCATTCTTGGACCATGGACACAGGTGGAGGTGCAACATGTGCAACCTGACCAACGACGTTCCTCAGGCATTCGATTGGGATGCAGCACAGCAGAAGAGCGTGGACCGCTGGCAGAGACCCGAGCTCAACTATGCCGTGACCGAGTTTGTTGCGCCTCAGGAGTACATGGTTAGTACTGGCTGTACGAAGTGCATGTGAGACAAATGCTGACTTCGTACCTCTATCTCTGCAGGTCCGCCCTCCACAGCCTCTATGCTACTACATCCTGCTGGATTGCACACAAGGCGCTGTCAACAGCGGATTGCTCGCCGTCGTCTCGAGGGTCATCAAGGAGTCGCTCGGTCGGATACCAAACGCAGACGGTCGGACACGCATTGGATTCATGGTAAGCAACGCGCTTCCTGAAAGCACATGGTGCGTAAGCTAACTATGTACCAGGCGGTCGACAACGGCTTGCACTTCTTCGGCATTCCTCCTGACAACAGCGAATCCAATGAACCACAACAGCTTGTAGTTTCCGACCTCGATGAGCCCTACCTTCCCATGCCTTCGGACCTCCTGGTCAGCCTCAGTCAATGCCGCAACAACATCGAGACGTTCCTTGACCGCCTCCCGACCATGTTCCAAAACACACACGTCCCTGGCTTTGCGCTGGGCTCAGCTCTCCGATCCGCACATAAGCTCATTTCCCCACTCGGAGGAAAGTTGACTGTCATTGCCGCATCGCTACCCAATGTTGGTCATGCAGCATTGAGCCCTCGAGAAGACAAGTCGCTACTGGGCACCGGAAAGGAAGGCAGTTTATTGCAGCCTGCCAATAACTGGTACAAGTCGTTCGCGGTAGAATGCTCTAAGAACCAGGTGTCGGTGGATATGTTCCTTTTCTCCTCGCAGTACCAAGATGTTGCGACTCTGAGCAACCTTCCGCGATTCACTGCCGGTCAGACATACTTTTACCCTGGATGGAACGCGGCAAGACAAGAGGATGTCGTCAAGATTGCAACCGAGCTGGCTGACTATCTGTCTGCTGAGATCGGTCTAGAGGCCGTTCTCCGAGTGCGCGCTACCACCGGATTGAGGATGTCTGCATTCTACGGAAACTTCTTCAACCGCTCATCTGACCTCTGCGCCTTCCCGGCATACCCCAGAGATCAAGCTGTAGTGATCGAGGTCGCCATCGACGAAACAATTTCCAAGCCATTCGCCTGTCTCCAGGCCGCTGTGCTTCACACTACCTCAAGTGGTCAGCGCCGTATCAGGGTTCTGACTCTTGCTGTGCCTACGACTGAGAGCCTGGCGTCAGTCTATGCATCAGCAGACGCGCAAGCGATCACTACCTACTTCAGTCACAAGGCAGTTGAGCGAGCATTGTCGAGCGGTCTTGACGCAGCACGAGACGCGTTACAGGCCAAGATCATCGAGATACTCTCAACTTATCGCAAGGAGTTGGCAGGCGGCAGCATGGGCGGTGGAGGACTACAACTACCGCAAAACCTTCGCGCTCTCCCCATACTGTTCTTGGGACTCATCAAGAACGTTGGTCTTCGCAAGAGCGCTCAAATCCCGAGTGATCTCCGTTCCGCAGCTCTTGACCTTCTCTCTACACTGCCATTGCGCCTACTTACGCAGTACATCTACCCGTCTTTCTACTCACTCCACGATATGCCTGATGATGCTGGTGTACCGGAACCTACCACTGGACAGATCACAATGCCACCTGCATTAAACCTTTCCAGTGCAGCCATCGTGCCTTACGGTCTGTACCTCCTGGACGACGGTGTGAACCAGTTCTTGTAAGTACAAGCGCAGAGTCTGTATCGATATAGGGCTAACGTGACTAGGTGGATTGGCCGAGATGCTGTCCCCGCGCTCCTGAATGATGTATTTGGCGTCGAAGACCGCACACAGTTGAAACAGGGCAAAGCCTCATTACCTCTTCTAGACAATGAATACTCCGAGCGAGTGCGAGCAGGTGAGTTGACATTACTGATGATTTATACAGTCAGATTGCTGATATAAGGTAGTCGTCGAGAAATCGAGAGATCACAAGTCGAAGGGTGTAGGCTCAATCACCCTACCTACGCTGTACATTATCAAGGAAGACGGCGACCCAGCCCTCAAGCTATGGACACAGACCCTCCTTGTCGAAGACCGGGCAGACCAGGGTGAAAGCATCGTCCAATGGATCAGCAAACTCCGAGAAAAGGTATATCAATGAGTCAGCTGCCTGCCCGAAGAGAAGACTGACGTTCCACCTAGGTTGTGCAGTAAGCATCGGATAGATTTGGGCACTTGTTCATTAGGCGGTGTGGATTGGGCGGGTCAATACCGCACTGGCGCAAGATCCGAAGAAGAAATCAGCATTGCTTGGGCGGTGGAGTGATGACTGGGAGTCGCACCAAGCGAATCGTGACTTATACAGCAGCAATGTGATACCAGCTTCCATCTGTTTATTCTTGGCCACCTCGGCTGTGGCAATGTACCACAGTTGTGCGGCGAGGCAGCTGCCCGTCATTGCCACACGGCGTCAATGCATGGCGATGAAACGTAGTGCTAAGCTGTTGTGCGAGTACTGAGGAGGGGCCTGCGGTTAACGTGTATGCAAGACAGGCTTTCCCCGTGTGCATCTTGAGTTGCTCGATAATCGATAAGAGTCATACCTCGGTCTTCGCGCTTCGCGCACGGGCTATCACACGGCTGGAGGCAGGCACAGGCACGTTCCGAGCGTTGACTCCACTATCGCTAACCTGACCATGAGCGCGAGTAATGCACGGCTCCCTCAACACCAACGCCACCGCTGGCGACAAATGCGTCCAGACATCTGGCTCGCCCGCTAACTCAAGCCCGCATGATTCGGTAAAGCTACTATTTTGAACATGTAGGCCTGCATACACTATGTGTTTCACCAATCCTCCAGCTGCCGCTGCAGGAAGGACGAGTGTTTTCTTTGTAGGCACGGCGCACGATCCTCGTGTGGGGATGCGCCTACGCAACGTGTCAATAGCAATATTGCGTCTCGTTTAGGCACCGGAAGCGGAATCTTGAAGCATACAAGGGACAAAGTACGGTACAGACGACGCAACGAGGCGCACCGCGCAGATGACCACGATATTCGCGATCCATGGTATCATCCCGCGTCTGTCCGCCAGATTCCCTCGAATCATACACTGCTTGCCAGGAACTAGTCGGGCCACTGGGTCCTCCGCCTTTCTGTCAGCGCTTCCGAGCTATAGAGTGTGATGGCGACAAACTGTCACGCACCGCTCAAAGCCCAACGCCAGGCAACGCCAGGGACAGACTACCGTCTCTGACCGCCTCGTTCAACAGCCGCCTGGCGCCTTTCGCGCTGCAAAGACGCAAAATTTGAGTCGCTGAAGTCCGGCAGAACCACGGATGCTAGCCTTTCGCTTCGGCAAGGTACAAAGGTACAACACTTTTTGTGGATCTGGTCGAGTCCCCTTGCATCGGCGCTCGCCCACGCTGCTAGCTTGCAGCGACTATCCGCGTCAACCAATTACTTGGGCATGGCACTGTCAGCTTGGCCAGGCGGCCGACGCCATGCTCGTCTGCTTATGGCTGTCTTCTCCCAGGCGCGCAACTTGCCTTGAGGGACTGGCCAAACGCGCCGGCGCGTCCATGGCATAGCCAGCCATCATGGTCCCGATCTATCTGATAACACGTGAAACGGCAGCGGGCGTTGGTAGGTGTTTCGTCATCAATATCCAGCGTGCTCAGGTCCCGGCCATAACGCACGACCTAGAGCAAATAGTCCGGTTCTTGACCCATCGCTGCAAGCATGTGCCATGACCGTTGTTAGCAACCGGAAACAGGCAGTGCTGCCCAGTGCCCCGCCGCACAATATGATGCCATGTCCTGCAGCCAGGCCGATTGCTTGACGGCAGATGCGCTCATCAGGGCTTGCAGACGTACTGTGGTCTGACAGGCGGACGAGCATGCTCTGGGGCTCAGCTGCACCTCTTCATCATGTCTGGGTCGGCGGGCCAAGCATCGCTAATTCCAAGGATCTGCAGGCAAGATGTGCCTTCGTCGCAAGGTGGATCGGACTCTAACCCCAGCCTTCTGCCAGGCCGTCCGTCCAGGGCGCACGACAAAGCCGCTAAGATCCCGTCCTGTGCCTTACCAACCCCTCCTCGTGCATTTGCGACGCAATCGTGAGTTCGTTCTAATCCCGCTCTCCTGCATCGACACCTGCTCCTCTGCCTTCATACCCGGGTCTTGCACAGTCTAGCTGCATCGCCACAAGAGCCGCATCCTGCCGCTCCTACTCAAGCCCTTGTGCGCATCGAGTCTTGCGTCAAAGAGGGGCCAATCTCCCCGCCACCTGAGGCATCCCATCCCGCGCCTTATCATACACCCAGCCCAAAGTCCGAGTATCCGTGGTTGCTCAACCCTCACCACTGGTACACCTTTGGGCGACACCAACTTGACGATTTTACGACGCAACGATCGAATTTAACACGACCTCGTAGATTTTGTTTGACCTTGCTCGCTGGGCGCTGACTCCGGATGTTGTTGCAACGCCGCCCTCTATTCGTCATCATATCGTTTCAGCCTTCCCACATCCGCTCCAGGAAGGGACCACCCGCAGTATCATACTGATTGCGCCGCTCGAGGCAACCCGCCTGGGACCTGCGCCTGCATTAACTCTCCAGTCTTACATCACCGGCGCTACCAAAGCGAGCTCCCTCGTGCAGGTTGTAAGCTATACGCGCTCGTCTCCGTAGACCTGCGCGGCTCACTCAGCACGACACGGAACAAGAGGTGGCTATCGTTAGACTGCTGGTCACCGCCTCTTCCAACATGTCTACTTTCCAAGCAGTCAACACCACATTGTCGGTCCCAGATGCGCCACAGGGCCGCCCGGGTGACGAGACGACGCCGACTACTCCTCGACCGAACAGCAGGTTCTTTGCCGAATCGAAAGCGACCGAAGAGATCCGTGCCGAAGACCCATCGGCTAAGACACCTACACGCAATACCTTTGCGGGTCTTGTTGGCCAGCGACCACTGCCCTCGTCGCCGTTTACCCCCGGCCGCGAGCTGAGCGAGACACCTTCAGCTTCGAATAAGAGCGAACAAAGTAGAGAGGACTCGCATAGGCCAACAACCTCGGGACAAGATGTGCATATGGGTGATGGGGATGATGACGAGAAAGACGGATCGGACAACGATAGCGTAACCAGCGATTCCAACCGGCCGTCTAAAAAGAAGAAAGGACAACGCTTCTTTTGTACCGACTTTCCGCCGTGCAATCTAAGCTTCACGAGAAGTGAGCATCTGGCACGACACATTCGGTACGTAGTTCACTATGCGGCACGCTACATTGCTAACACACTGCAGTAAGCATACTGGTGAAAGACCCTTCCAATGTCACTGTTCCCGGCGATTCTCGCGACTCGACAACCTCCGACAACATGCCCAAACAGTTCACGTCAACGAAGACATACCTTCAGAATCGCTAGCTGCAACGGGTACGAGGTTCCAAAGGCAGATCCGGACCGACAGAGTAAGACCACCTGGAAACCGATCTCGAGCGAACACACTAGGCAGCACAGGTGGCCATAGCAGAGGCCACAGCAGAAACCTCTCAGCTTCAAGCATAATCTCTACCGCTTCGACCATGAGCGCGGCACCTTCTCCCGACATTCGACGTAGGCCACCACCTTTGGCCATGGCTAGTGATGGTGGTGCTAGCGCGAGGGCTCGCCTGTCACTAAATACCATGAACGCGTATGACCCACCGATGATGGGCTCTCCTGGGCCTGTCGAGTATGACACGCAGTCCAACGCGCCTACAACGCCCACATCCGCTACCTTCTCGACAGTTACTGGCAGCCCCGCTCGCTACGGGTCCACTATACAGTCTCCGGTTTCGTCTTCGTCCAGACCAGTCTCATGGGCCGGACCACCCCTTCCAGGACGTCGAGAGTCCATCTCGTCCAGTGGTAACCCTTTCTCTGGTCCACCAGGACAGGGTCCTTCTACGTACATCACACCTCTGCAGTCAACTGCCGCACCCAGCTATTCAGCCCAAAGCAGCGCATATGCGAGCCCAACAGCATCTCAATTCTCAGAGGCGAGGAGAGATTCAAACGCAGATGCGGACTGGAGGCGACGTACGTGGCATCCAGGAACTTGGGGGCATACTGGGCCTCGCCCAGCGACCAGTGGGCTTGGTTATCACCAGACGCCAGACGCGGATCGGCCCACGTTTACTTCAATTCCGGCCGCTTCTCAAACTACCCGTCTTCCGGGAATTGAAAGCTTCGACCATGCACCCCCTCCGCTTCCTCGACGCCAGCCAAGTCCAATGCAAGTAGACGCCCCAGCTCGTCCACTGACATATCACGCGCCGATGGAGCACCCGCCTCCGCCTCATAGGGGTCACCACAAAAGAACTAGTATTTCTTGGGAAATTGACCGTCTGAACATTGCTGGCCCAAGTTCTCAGAGAGAACCACAATGGTCGCAACCATACCCTGGCAGTGCCGGACGAGCGAATGCTACACGCCCTACGACCGCTCATGGGTACTTTAGTCGGCAACCTTCTAACGTTCAGCCAATCCAGATCCCTTCCATCAACGCTTCGCCCAGGACTTCGCAAGAACAGCCTACGACGCCCCGAAAGAACAAGCGACAGGCGTGGTACAACGGACCTGTCAGTCAACCACAAAGAGCTATGCAGAGAACGTCCCCTGAAGATAGTAGCAGTAGTGAAGGCGTTCCCACTCCAGGGACGATTTGGGAACATCATCCGAACATCGTGGGCAGCAATGGATACGTGGAAACGCCAGTCGTCGAAGATTACAAGTCGCAAGCATCAATTATGGAAAGGCCGCATCCATTACAATCGCAACCACACCATTATCATAGCCACAGCCTCTCCAACTCGAGCTCAAGCTATCGACCGCAACGAGAACCCGAGCGGGGACCCGCGACGTTCGGTCAGCCCCTACCGCAGCAGGCAGCCAACAATGACATGCGTCGCTTGGAAGCGCTTGTTGCTGTCGCCACTGGCGAGCAAGCCGTGGAGAACCGCTCTTAAATTAGGTCAGCTGATTGCTTCCTCACCGCTTTTACATCACACATCGCCATCATCAATTCACGTCGAGTTTTTCAAAGCACACCCACGATGTCACGACCTCGAAGAACAATAACGAATCTCCTATGACTTACGCAATGATACACATGTCTGGTGTTTTACCTCCAGTTCCGCATGACAATCTCTCGGTCTTTTGCTTTGTTTCCCTTGCCTTCACTTCAGATATCGCCGACCAGGTGAGGGCTCTTGTTGTCGCTTTCCATATGATACCAATCGGAGCTTCTGCTCGAACTTCCTTGGGATACCCCGATCCGGCATATGTCATTTTCCCTTTGTTTTGCTTGCCTTTGTGCATATGACGTTTTTGCTTTCGTTTTAGGGATATACCAAATCGAACAGCGGGAGTCTGGAGTTTTTTGTCAGTATCAATTTCTTTTTCTACATGATGACTCTCTCTATTAGGATGTGCTGTCGTGCTGTTTTTGGCGGGACGGGTCACTGATGATGAACATTGGTAATGGGTAGAAGCTGGAAGGGTCAATAGTTGTCCTTGGACATTCTTAACATGCTTGTATATGCTTTCTCAGATGATTGTGGCCTCGTGTGCTTTCTTGTGACTTGCTCCGACAGATGCCTTGAGACAGGTGATGATTTATCATATAAGTCGCAAAGAGCACTTTGTTGCTGGTATCAACAACTAGGTCGGGAAGTACTACGTGGTTTGAGCAACGCTTGTACGCCTCCTTACCAAGGACAAAATGTTTAAAGAGAAGTTTGGCAACCCGAGGCGCTTGAGCGCGTTGCTGATCTTGAAGCTGATGCAGAAGTGGAAGGCGATGCCTTTGAGCGCACTGATGAGACCGCCGAGTGTATGGCAGATATTGATGATGGTAACAATGGTGGGGAGGCGGTTAAGCGCTCTGGTGACATTAAAGTTGGTGTTGCAGCTACTATAGATGCTGCGAGGGAAGTGGTTGAAATTGGCGGGACTGAAGCTGCGGCAGAGCTTGCAAATGACGGCGCATGTGATCCTGATGAACTTGCAGTACAGAGTTGGCGGATGCCTGGTTGATCGATCGGTCGTTTCGTGGTGGCATTGTTGAAAGTCTTGAGACTTAACAGCGAGAACGAAAGGCTGAGAGAGAGATTGAAACAAGGCTACAAGAGAGATATAGAAAGAAGACTGAGTGAGAGATTGTGTGCGCGTGAGAACAAAGATTAGGCGGGAGGTTGTAGAAGCTTGTGTGGTGAGGTTTATTAGTGGGACTTGTACTCGCATGCCAAAACGAGGCAGGAGCGACCCTGGTGCTACTCTCGAATATAGCAAGAGAACAAACTCTAGGTGCAGATTTAGCTAGTCCTGCAATCGATGGCGATAATAAGCGCAGCAACGTTGTTAGAAGAAGCCGACGTGGTTGCTTGTCTTGAGGGAGTAGTCTTGTAGAGAAACTCGCGGTCTCAAGGAAGGACTGGCCTTAGATGGGAGGTTCTAGGAGGCGATGATAGCAGATACGCCTGTGGGTGCTTATCAACTCAGTTGTAGTTGCATCGTCTCGCACAGTGCATTCTGTCCAACGTGGTGGGTTGCGGTGCATTGTTGTCGGGGCAACGATACAGGAGAGGACAAAGCGCGTTCTAGCGTATCATGCCACATGCAAACCCCGCGTACCCTGACTTGGTATACACATCCGCTTGCAGCAACACCGACAGCAGGCACTGTACCTGTATTTGATACCCTCCTTTTTCTTCTTCTTTCTTTGTGATACCCCCTACCCGGCGCCATGGGTTCCGACGACGTTACCGACTTCGAGGTGATAGAAGGCCAGAAGGAAAACATCCAGAGCATCCCTAGCGGCCGCTCCGCCAAAGCACTCGCGCAGCTATACACGCCACCGTTGACTTCCGGCGCTGGTCAGACGCTGTCCCCTTCGCAGATGCAAGATGCGAACAGCGCGGCCCGTCTCAAGTTCGAGAAGGAGCTCATGGCGATTGACGACTCGGACGACCCGTTAGATGTTTACGACCGCTATGTCAAATGGACACTCGACTCCTACCCCTCCGCACAGAACACACCCCAATCGCAACTCTGCCCACTGCTCGAGCGCGCGACCAAAGCCTTCCAATCCTCGCCGCAGTACAAGAACGACGCCCGCTACCTCAAGCTGTGGCTGCACTACATCCATCTCTTCTCAGATGCGCCGCGCGAGACATTCGCATACCTTGCGCGACACAACATCGGCGAGAACCTTGCGCTATTCTACGAAGAATTCGCCGCCTGGTTAGAAGGCGCGGGCCGCTTCACACAAGCAGAGGAGATATACAACCTGGGCATTGACCGCGAGGCCCGCCCAGTCGAGCGTCTGATTCGCAAATACGGAGAATTCCAGCATCGTCTCGAGAGCCGCCCGCAAGAGGTTCCCGAGCCTTCAAGCCCCGCACTCCCCGCCGTCCGTCCAGCCCTCGCCGCTAAGATGGACCCCTTCGCGCATGCATCACCGAGTGCGCCGAGCCCACAACCACAAAGTGCACCAAAACCTGCTGGAGGCGCTTCTCGCTCGGGGAAGGCTAAGCTTGCCATCTTTTCCGATGGCGACGATGCCGCGAGGCCCGGCTCGACTGGTAGCATGGAAGGATGGGATAGCATTGGATCGCTCGCAGACCGCAAGAAGGAGAACGCAACGGAAGCGCGCCCTTGGGCTGGTGAGACTCTGAAGGTCGGAAAGAAGAACACTGGCGTGCCAAAGATGTCAATCTTCAAGGATGAGGTGAGTTGATCTGCCTACATCAGCCCCTTCATATATTTACGATCACAGGACTAATTGGTGGGCGTTTGCCATACATGTATTCAGACCAAATCAAATCCCAATGACGAGAATGTCAGCCCCCATCCATTGCGTGAACATCAGCAAGCAGTAAATCCAAGAACAGGCAGGCTTGAGGTCGTCTTTGTAGATTTGGAGCAGGTGTACCCTAACCATGAAGATCCGATGTCAGAGGAATACTCATTTGAGGAACTTCGAGCTAAATACAGGGGATGGATGGACCACGATTGGGATGCTATCCGCCGCAAGGAACAGAAGCAGGCAAGGAAAGCAGCCGAGGAGGCAGAAGCTGCCGCAAGACCAAAGCCAAAGGCCGCGCCTCTAGCGCCCAAACAGGATTACGAGCAGCCTCCTAAGCCCAAAACCGTGCCTCTAAAAGGCAGCGTTGATGATGACATGAACAACGACGAAAACGCGCCGCCTTCACAAGCAGATGTAGACAAGGCACGGGCTGCTAAGAAGGCGAGACGAGAGGAGCGTGCCAACAGGACTAGGAAAATCAAGGTCATGGAAGTCAAAGAAGTTCGCGGAGAGACTCAGACAAGTGAGTGTTTGATTGTATATGAGACTGTCACGTACGTACTAACATGTCTTAGTCCAAGCCAACCTAGATTCTCCAGCGAAGCCCAAAATCCGGCGAAAGAAGACAGGCCCGGAGACCACAATGACCCTCCACACCAAGGAAGCAATGGACGAGATCTACGACATATTCAACGAACCACTCAAGAATGCCGACGAGAACACTTCCGAGAATCAGAGTGGTGATGAAAGCAGCGGTGACGATGAGGACGACTACACGAGTGGTGCCGAAAGTACGGCAACCGGTCGCATATCGGGCGCTACGAGCGAGTTTGGGGATGAGACAACAGCTGGCGATTTCACACTCGGCACCAGGGTGCTGGATGTTGACGCTGAGGACGAAAGCGATTCCGACGCTTCAGATACCAAGAGTGCTTCTGCGTGGTCTGACTTTACTGAGAGCAAGCACGTGCCCAAGGATGGTCAAGAGGATGAATCAGATGATGAGTCTGAGCAATCCGATCAGTCTCAGAACGATTCTTTTAACGAGGTAACACGCGCAGATGTCGACGTGGAACAACAGCAAGATTCTGACGTCGTCACTCCGACCTCGCCCTCAGCGCCCACATCGCTACCTACCCGCTTCGTTCCCGTTCCACCGGAAGACTACGTTCCAGCTATGCAGCCCTACCGAGACCCGGCCCAGGCTGCTAATAACCGTCTGCCGTTCATGACGCCTATCGTCGAGAAGACGGAATCATCCCTAGGCATCGCCACCGCTTATGCAAACAAGGACTACTTTACTCCTGCGACCAAGACACCATCACGATCGAAAGGTACCACTGATATCCTTGAAGATGACGACGACGATGATGATACTTGCGGTAGCGCCTTTTCAGATATCTTGAGTCAGGTTATTGATGGCTCAGGGAAAGTTGCGAAGCTCGCCCTAACAGAATCGAAACCAGTACCTAAAGAGCCCATCGCCGAACCGCAACGGAAGCCATTGGCTGCGAAAGAGGTTGTGCCAAAACCAGTAAAGCCGAATGGTCCAATTATTCAGGATGCACAGTGCAATCCGGTCGACGAGAACATCCGCAAGGTCATCCTACAAGAAATCCAGCCACCGCTCGATGTCTACGATGGCTACTACGCAGACACCGAAGAGAGCTACGGAAAAGGAGCCGACATTCGCAAGTATACCAAGGCTCTGAAATCGGGCAAGGGCGCGAACGACAAGACGGCCAACCTTGCAGTCTGTCCCACGTTGAAGTTTCCCACAACTCAGCGGACATACGCCGTCAAACGCGAGCTTGGGAAAGGTGCTTTCGCCCCAGTGTACCTGGTTGAAAGTCGAGACCCCGACGAGGACGACGATGAGAACAAACCTTCGCAGATGGGCAAGGGGGAGTTCGGTTTGAAGCGCAAGAATCTGGAAGCTATCAAGATGGAAGATCCACCAACTCCATGGGAATTTTTCATCATGCGACAAGCAAAGCGACGGCTAGGCGTATCTCGAGCGGCTGATTCGATTGTTCACGCGTACGAGATGCACGTCTTCAAAGACGAGTGCTATTTGGTAGAGGAATTCAGAGACCAGGGTACGCTGCTCGACCTTGTGAACCTCTCTCGCGGAGACAACGGCGTCATGGACGAACAGTTGGCCATGTTCTTTACCATCGAGTTGTTCCGCACAGTCGAAGCGCTACACTCCAAGGGTGTCATTCACGGCGATCTGAAAAGCGACAACATTCTCGTCCGGTTCGACGCGTTACAAAAAGATGAGCACTGGGATTCCGAATACAAGCGCGATGGACGTGACGGCTGGTCTGCCAAGGGTATCTCACTGATCGACTTTGGCCGTGGTATCGACATGAAGGCCTTCAAGCCAGATGTGCAGTTCATCGCCGACTGGCCCACTACCGAAGCCGACTGCGCCGAGATGCGCGAACTACGCCCGTGGACCTACCAGATCGACTACCACGGTCTCGCTGGAATTGTTCACAACCTATTATTTGGCAAGTACATATCCACGATCGCTGAGCGTGGCGCTACTCTTGGTGCCGGAGCGACGAAGACGTACAAGATCAAGGAAAGCTTGAAACGATATTGGCAGACTGATATCTGGCACTCATGCCTTGATTTACTGTTGAACCCACTCATGCACCTTGAGGGTGAAGAGGGGAACAAATTGCCGGTACTGAAGGGTATGAAAGAGGTGAGGGAGAAGATGGAAGAGTATCTTGAGAACAACTGTGAGAAGGGCGTTGGATTGAAGACTCTTATCAGGCGCATGGAGGATGCAGTGAAGAAGAGGTGATGGGGCTTGCCTTTGTGCTCATTTGTATGATGTTTGGAGTTTTGGGAGGTTGTTATTGTAGGGTTTGGATAGATGATACCACTGGGAATGACGAATGGATTTGGAATACCGGCTTGTACATTCACACTTTGCCGAGAGTGTCTGCAAAGGCCCTTCGCTGTTTCGTAACTCGCACTAACGGATATCCATAAGGTTATCAACCTCATCGAAGAAATTGAAATATTGGTGGTTCGGCTTGAGGGCATGCTGCTTGATGGCTCTTGCATTTTTATACTGCTCCCATAGTCGCCTCTAGCCACACGGTTCGTCGTTCTTTCCTCCCAACAGGCTCACTCACTTCGACACGTCCTTTGACAGGATCGTTCCTTCCGCCACGCACTGAGCTAGACGCATACGATAAGAAGCCAGCAATGCCACCTGAACTTCTACTCTTCATCCACCAACAATTTACACAAGACACTCCTAGCTTCCAGCAGCATACTTTGAGCCTTCCTACCACCTCTCACCTCCGCCTACTAACTCCGATTACCTGCTCGCCGTATCGTCAGCCTAGTATGTTTTCGGTTCACCACAAGGCCTCCTCCTTGCTCCACACGATGCTCGTCACCGGCATCATCCTGATCCCGACCGCCATCGCCACACCCGCCGCGGTGCAGGACCTTACCGATATGCGCAGTGTCGTCGATGCAGCAGCAAGTGCTATCGGAAATCCGAATAACCCCAATCGAGGCTTTGGCTTCAACCTCTTCGGCGGCAGCGGTCAGATGGGTACTGCCGACCTCGTCAACAACATCACCAACACTATCCTCCGAGCAAAGTACCAACTAGACACGAACAGGGTACGTGTCTTGACCGCTACCTCGAGCATTCTGATAACCAGCACTAACAAGCACCAACAACAGACATCATGGCTCCAGCCCAGCAACTCGACCCTCAACGGCACCTTACCCACCTCCAGTGTGCCCACACTCGCAACCCCCACGCTCCCCCTAACAGCCAGCCTCGCCCTGCCAACCAGCATCCCCACCACAACACCCACGCTCGACAACCTCACCATTGACCTCACGTCCCCCTACATGGCCTACGTCCAATCCATGCCCAACCTAGCCAACAGTCTCATAACCCTCGGCCGGTCCTACCACCGCGAAATGAACAGCCCCGTCAACGAAGCCGTCGCCGGTCTCCAGCAAAGCCTCACCACCTTCCAGACCGCACTGCTCGAAAGCGAGCTCATCAGCGCTCAGGCTGTTATACGCACCATACGTGCGAGTAGTAGTCTGGAGAGTGCCGCGACGGCTTGGAGTCGCTTTCTCAATCTACCCGGTGGTGGTGGTGATGACGACGATGATGGTAACGCGGGACCTGTCTCTCCGTCGTTGCCCGCCGTGCCGGGAGTGGGAGGTCGGCGTGTCTTGGGCAGGGCCGAGGCGAAGAGGCCGCCGCCGGGGAATGGCAGGTTCTATAGCCACCTGGAGCTGTGGAATCGGTCGGAGCCTAGGGCGAGAGTGTCGACGGAGGGCAAGTTCTCGCCGCATGATCTTGTTGTGCAGGCTGAGGAGAAGCGTGTGAGTACTACTGCTGCGGAGAAGGCGAGAGTGGGAAGGCCTTTTGTTGTTTGAGTTGTCGAGCCTTTTTCCTGTACTGTCCTACTTTTCTCAATGCATCGTAATATGAACAGGCTCTTTCTTCCAAAGCACCATCATACATGTTAGATTCGTCCAACGTTCTGACCTCTCCATTCTCACCACATAAAGCACATACCCAGATTGCAGCATCTCGAAAAAAAGTATGCTTCGATAACAATAAAGCTAAGCTAAGAGTTGTGGCGGGGGATATCTTCGAAAGCCAGTATGCAACGCAGAGACGAGACCAAAACAAACAGCGAACAACAACAACGAGATTGAAAACCAAAAGAAGAGCCAAGCTAAAGCGCCATTCCAGCGCTCAAACAAAGATCCATAACCTCATGACTTGACTGTGCCTTGTGACTAGAGGAAAAGCCGCCGAAAACACCAGTCTCCTTCCTTCATCCCATCGCTCGTTTCTTGCTTTCTTTCCAAAGAGGACACTCATGCCTCTTCCCTCTTCGCTTTCTTGAGTCATGATAATATGTATGGATTCATACCCGACCAGACCGGACCTATTTCCACAGGTCGCCAGGTACAAAACGCTTGAGGAAACAAAGAACATCTCCGTCTCATTACAGATCCCTTTGCATTGAAATGAAAAGAAGCATATTCACATACAAGTAGGCAGGCTTGCGCTCTCTGTTTTAGACCAAAACCCATTCACTGCCTCTCTTGATGAATTTATCCAACATCATGGTGACGTCGGTGAGGACGAAGCGGCAGATGTAGAAGCCGAAGAACTCTGCGGCGTGGCGTGTTGATAGCTCGAGACCGACGTGGGTGGGGGAGGAATGCTTGAGACCTGGGTCTTCGACTTGGCGGGCGATTTGGTCTATAGCGTTATTAGTTAATCCAGGTTTATGATGAGAGATGATGTAGAAAAAGACATACCCAATATTTGGACCGCATCGAATAGCCTTGCCAAAGAACCCATGTACCCTGCATTGGGCCCCTCAAACACAACACCGGAAATGTCTCGCTTTGCGAAGCGGATGCTGGGGAGGTTGGTCATGGGAAGGGTGGACATGATCAGAGTGTCCTTGGGCACTTCTGCACTCTTGGCACCACCAGCCATGCCCGCGAGGTTGACGCCCGAGTTCTTTGATCGGAGTTTCCGCCAGGAAGCAAGGTATGATTTGCCCTGGGCAACAGCACCCTTGTGTTGGTGGTCCACGGAGCCATGCCTGCCGGAGGCGTCTGTTGACGATGCACCTTCGCCGACGGTGGTCGCATCCCTGAACAGTGCGGTTACGGACTGCACACCGACTTCGTTGCCTAGTTTCTTTGCTAGCTGGGCTTGCACCTGGTCGAGCACTAGTTCCAAAGACTGCATCTCTTCTAGGACAGCATCCGCGTCATTTGTATCCACAGACGCTAGCTTTTGAAGCGCTGCTGTGAGCATGTCGCAGTTGGCGATCTTGTCCTCGATGTTCTTTAGCTTGACACCCTTTACTCGCCAGACATCGCGGGGAATAAAGAGCTTAGTTGAGAGATAGCCACCGCGGGGATGCGCGATAGTCTGGTAGAAGCATCGCATTAACCAGAACGGTCTCAGGAGGTACGAATCCGGACATGGCTCCAGAGGGATCGGGGCGTTCGTGATGGCTGGGCTTGGCGAACCGGGCGAGAACGGTGAGTGGATATCACTCTCGAACAAGTGCATCCCTCCACTCGGTAGACCGTCAACGTTGAATGTGGGGACGCTGGGCGTTGGCATTGCCAGGCTGACATTGCTGGGTTTCCTGCCTGTAATGGAAAAGTTCGTGCTTAGTGGCGTTCCTATAGATGCATCTGAGCCATCTGGGCTGGATATTGACAAGTTGCGCTGTTTCAGGCTGAGGGAGGACTTGTTCTTCCTGATTCCCATCGCTGAGGTTTTCCCGGTCTTTGGCGAACCTGGTACAAGACCAGCCTCGTTAGAAACAGCATGGCCGAGGGCGGGCGTCGCGGGTGAAACCGTGGCAGCAGTTTCGGCGGGACTGTAGAGGGTGGGCTGAGGTGATGGAGCTCGAAGACCAGATTGTTGGGACGCTTGCGGCAGCGCGGGAAGCTTGAACGCGGAGTCTAGGGTAGGCTTGGTGGTGCTGAATGTTGGTGCCGCCGACTTGGGTTGGACGGGGAGGTCGGTAGGCGCATCCTTAGCTGGCACCGGAGGCTTCTCCGTGTGAGGTGCAGGCGGGACAGGCGGTACAGAAGTCTCTATTTTCAAAGACTTTGCATTTTGTCCCGATAACCTTCGACTTCGTACTGAGGCTGCGTCCTTGGTTGCAGTAGTGGGCCGTGGTGTGGTTTCTGCGGTGTCGATCGTTTGCGGTGCTTGTGACTCGGGAACCGTAGGCAAGGCAGGCAGAGCGCCAGATGGAGCAGGCACCGCGGGCGGGGAATGAGCGGGTGGTTGCTTGGATGTCGGGTGCATCAATTCTGCAACGGTCGAGAGTGACGTACCACCCGTCGTTCTGTGTGACGACACGGAGCTGTTGTACGCGCTTCCAGAAAAGCCACTCGAGTCTGACTGCCGCGGTAACGAAGACTTTGTCTGCAGATCGAAATCAAACCCATCCAGCATGTACTCTCGCGTCATCTCGTCTAGTAGCCGCTCTTCCTCTTCCGCCTCGTCGTTGAACCTGATCTCAGCGCTTTCGCGCACATGCGGAAGGCCCTCGCCCCGAAGCTGCGTCTCTTTGTAACGATACTTGGCTGCGGCAATGGCCTCTTCGCGTTCCGCCTCCCGCACGCGCTCCTTGGCCAGTTCCACGTTACGCAACTTAGTCGCTATTAAATCGCCGGGTGTAGAAATGTCGTCATCATAAGGTTCATATCCATCGTCGTACGCAGCTTCGACGGCTGCATCAAGCGCCGCATCGAATTCTGCCTCGGTTCCTCCACTGTTGTTTCGTATATGTTTTCGGCGCACTCCTCCAGGAGACATGGAATGGACCGAGGAAGAGCATGAGGATCCACCAGACTCATCAATAGTGTCAAGCCATGATGTTGACTCGTTGCTATGTACTCGCTGGTGATTTGATTTGACGGGCTGCTGCGGTCGTAATAACCGGCCATACTCCTCGGGCTCGGACTCCTTACCGCTGAGGAGAGGAGATTTGGACCGCTTGGGGGAGAGCGGTGGGGGCATATATACGCGGTCCATCATCGATTCGGCAACCGATGATCGGACAGATGTGGTAGAAGGTGCGATTCGCCCAGGTGGGGGCTGTAGGTTGAATTGCGGGTTCTGCATGCCTCTTTGCACATCGCGGATGGCGGTGGAAATGACCGACTCACGAGGACCGTCGGAGCCCTTGCGGAGAGGCAGCTGCTGGTTGGGCGGCGGTGTAGGCTCGCCGGCTGGAGGGGTATCATATATAGAACGGTCGTTAACTATGCGAGATACTGTGGCAGTTTCAATCACTGCAGGTGGTTCGTCGTCGTCAAGGAGCAGCATTGAGCGGTGTTCGTCCAGCGATTCCCCGCTCATGGGGCGTGCTGGTAGTGATTTGCCGCTATGGTTAGTGTAGCCGGGATCTAGCCGTCGCAGCTCTTCTATGCGGTTGGTGTATGTTACTCGCTACTGGAGTTAGTAGTGAATGGTTACAGATAATGTATGCAGTGACTTACAATGGCGTCCAGCTTCCGCCTGTCCTCTTCCTGCGAGCTGCGAATCATGACCTGCTGGAGGAGCTTGCAGGCATCCTCGTACGCCTCCATGGCGCCCTCGAAGTTTTGCGCATTGTCGAGCAGGACAGCGGTGTTCGCCTTTTGCAGGGCACGCGACAGCATCGTCTTCTTGTCCTTCTCTCTGCGCTCGCGTGTGCGGGGAGGCGTGCCCTGGTAGCTGTCGTCTAGCCTAGCGCTGGCGTTGCTCTCGTTGCGATGGTGATCCCTGCTGGGGCTGCGGACATGGGCTCTGCTCCCGGACCTGAACTGTTCTCTGCTCTGGCTCCTGGAGTGGTCCCGCGAGGCGGCTGGTCTGTGGCCCGCACTGGGTGGGGGCTTTTGGACGGGATCCCTAGGTGCTGCAACGGAGGGTCTGCGTGCTGTAGAGGGCCGAGCTGCGCCCGAAGTGGAGTCGTGCCTTGGGTCAGCCTCCTGAAGGACCGCAGGCGACCCGAGGGGCGACTTGCCCAGCACCTTTTCGGCCTTGGTGGTGCGAGACGGGGGCCTCTGGGAGGGCGGCGGCTGCGTGGGTTTCGAGTTGAAGTAGTCGCGCTGCTGGAGGCCGGAGAGCAGGTTCGGGGTAAAGAGGCTAGAGGCCGAGGGCGAGTTGTTGGTGGTCGAGGTGCTCGTGGGGGTGTTGGGGTCGTAGACGGTCGAGGGCAGCAAGATCGGGGGCAGCTGGGGCACCTTTGGGGCGGCTGTCACCGCGGATGGGGGGTCGTATGCGGGCGAGCGTGGGCGGTGTCGGCGGGGGCTCGCGGTGGGCGAGCGAGGGGCAGAATTGGCGATGCGAGCGGGGGATTCGGGGCCATTGGCGGCAGTGGCAGGCGCGGCGGTGTTGGGCGTGGTGATGCTCAGCTTGCGCGAGAAACTCGGGTGGTGCTGGTGGTGCGGGTGGTCGCTCCTGCCGGCCTGGGTGCCCGGAGCCTGGGACCAGCGGTTGAGGTTGGCAGAGGCGGTGGCGGCGGCGGCAATGGCCTCTGCAGCGCCGTTGGCAGCGCTCGAGCGGCGTCGTGAGGTCGTGGCCGGGGGCGGCGTGGCCTGGATATTCATGTTGTCGGCGTCGACGTCCACGGGTGTCGAGGCAGGGAAGCGTGTCTCAGGCCAAGCCAGCGGTTAATGCACGGCGCATGCAGGCATGGTTGCCACAAGCAGGAATGCGCTCAGGCGGGCGGCGGAGGTGCTTGGAGGCGGTGCGGCGGGCGGCGTGCTCGCGAGCGGTGGTGCAATGTGCTGTGTATCTCGAATATGTCGTACGCAGCGACGAGCAGCCGCCTGTGGAGAGCACAGTGCCGCCAAGTCGCAACCCGCAAAGCCACCCAGGGGTCTTCCAAACC